AAGAATAGCGACTGCGATAGGCTGAGCTGGTGCACGAGCATGTCGTAAGGCCTTCGGTCACCAAAAGTAGTTGAAGTGTTTATTTCTTGTTGTGGACTTCTACCTGCCCCTGCGAATCAGAGTTATTGGTGTTCGAAGCTTCGATGCCTTCTAATTCCACCTTGAAAAATGCTCTGAATGATTTGTTCAGGAACAGTCCAAGCATACATAAGAGGAAGCTTTTGCTTCAGACAAGTTTCTTTAAAGGTAAACGATGTTTTCTTTAGCGTCCCTGCACCGTTCTTCCCAGCAGTTCCTCTCGCACCCACTAAACTGGTTCTTACGGTCAACATGATCCGTACCAAGGAAAACACCGACACAGAGGTCGCTCGCCGTCCATTGTACAATAACTATCAAAGCCACATAAGCCATGCACAATGCAATAAGAACTGTCAATCAAGTAAAAAAACCGGAGGATTATGTAACCATTTTCCATTCACTTATGATCTAGTTTGAGCAATAACTATTAACTACTGCCATTTGAGTACCCACGGTTATCTGTTGATAACATACTAACGAAATAATCAAACTTTAAAGTTTCGTAGGTTATTATCACTTTGATGTTGTAAGTCGAATAGTAAATAATTACTTTTTGGATAAGCTACTATTATTGCCTTAAAAGCTGAGCTATGTTTGTAAGCTATTAATGTCACATCCCCAACTCTACAAGAAAAGGGAAATGATACAGCCATCCTCCCACTTGAAAGAAGTAGCCTAGACAGAACTATCATCAATCTGATATCGAAATATATACATATATATATATGATAAAAGAGTCATATTGTTATAATATCAGAGTTTCTCTAATCTATATATATAGATCTCCAACAAACAACTATCTCAGAAGTTCATTGCAGCCATATAAAACTCATACCTAAAAATCCTCACTATCAAAATGTCCTTTTGATAACAATAACACTCTCATCCTACTTCCGACTCGCTGAAGAACCTAAAAAGCAAGTAAGATAAATTAAATGAGCAACTACAGCCCAGTGAGTAATGCATCTCTTCTAAGTGGATCGAACATTCACTACGCATATTTATAAACCAATTTCATAACTCATTAATTCCAAATACATAATACAATCTACGAAAAATGTCAAAAGTGGATTATATCTTTTCACAAAAGTACTCTTTACATATCATATCAATAATCAACAATAACAAATCAATTATCAATGGTTCATTCCATTGATTAATCTCTATTAAATCAAATGCCAATGGTCCATTCCATTGACTAATCAAATGCTCAATATTTAACTATGGTCACGCTTAACGCTAGTGACAAAGGCAATCAAGTTTATCCCCCTATGCTAAATCTTCACCTATATCAGCCGGTGGTTTGACCCAGAAGAACATCCTGATATAGTATGCATATTTATGCCCTCAATAGGTTCTAAATCATAGCGATATGAGCATAATCCACTAATATCATTATCAGATAACGTACAAAATAAATCCATAATTCATCTCATAAACCAGTTTCACAAATCGAATCATATAATCTTTCTCAATTCTATTTACTAAATAGAATGCATTTCATAAAGCGTTTCACAAATCAATATAAATATATATATATATATATATATATATATATATATATATATATATATATATATATATATATATATATATATAGCCTTTGGCAATTTCTTTCGCAAAGCATTTAACCAAGACGTTTGCAAATGATCATTTCAAATTATCTCAAATAATGCCTTCCAATGCCTTGTCAATTGATTAAAAAAGTAGTAAAAGCTCGATCTAATTTATGCAAGAAATATGCTCTTTCATAACTCATGCTATATTAAATCTCTATCACTTTCAAGATATGAGTTTGTAAATTTATAAAAGAGACAATACCACTCACCTAGGAAAGCTGAAAACCAACCTACGAAGGTTACTCAAGCCGACGCACTTGTATTCCAATCAATTTATCGAAAAACGATATCAAAAACCGAGTAATACACTTCTGTAATGAACGACTTGACATAAACTTCGCTTAATCGTCGATAAAACAACTTTTACTCATTAATGGAAAAACTCATTTTTAACGAACATTCATTTTTGTCCGTTATGCGGATTGTTCGTTACACCTAACTCACACACGAAACTTCATAAATTCGTTTCGATCAAGCCGTACTTCAAGATCGATTTTTGTCCAACCCTATGGTTCCACAATATCCTAAATTTTCTTTTCCACATAAATATATAGCTTAGTAACTCTAAAATCAGATTTTGTAGCTTAAAATTCACATAACTCCAAATTTACGACCTAACTTTGATAATTACTCCGATTGGACGAACAATAGGCTTGAATACTTACTAGGCGTTGCAATTCGAAATTGATTGACTTGTCAGAGTGTTCGGATTGACTACATGCAAAGATTTTTCCTTCTTTCCTCTCTTTTCCTCTTTTTCACGGACGAACCCCTTTTTCCTTGTTTTGATTTATCTTCTCTCTCTTCCTTTCTTTTTAGGGTTAATATCACGAAAAATCTCAAACTGATATATTTCTAACAAATTTACCCCAAATTAATTTTTTTATCACGAAAAATCCCAAACCGATACACCTGTGATAAATTTACTCCAAACTAATTTTTTGTCCACTAAAAACCCCAAACTGGTACATTTATAGTAAATTTGCCCTCCAATAATTTGGTTTAATACTATGAAAAATCACAATCCGGTACACTTGTGACAAACGGAGGGTAAAACCTCAAACTAGTACACCAGTCAATTGCTACGTGTCATCCAACTCAAAAATTTAACGTTAAAATTTAACGGAAACTGACGGAGGATTAAATTGTCACAGGTGTATCAATTTAGGATTTTTTATAGTCAAAAAACTAGTTTAGGGTAAATTTATCATAGATGTACTAATTTTGGATTTTTTATGATATTAACCCATCTTCTTGTTACCTGCTTTGCTCATTTATGTACTTGCGTGCAGGCTGAAGGACAATAAAAAACACTAAGAATAGGCTTAAGTGACTTACTTGGCCCATTGTTTTTTTATTTTTTCTTTTAAAGGCCCAATTCTTACAATTAGGCTCCGTTCGTTTGGCGAAAAATATTGTGTTTTTGAAAAATGTTTTTCCGGAAATCATTTTCTAGAAAATATTTTTCCGGAACACAATTTTCCGGTGTTCAACTGAAATATGAAAAAGTTTCGGAAAATATTTTTCGGCTTTCGGCAACGATCGCCGCCGGCTGTGTTCTTTTTCCTTCTTCTTCTCCGGCAGGTCGCCGGCCACGGCCACGGCCGACGTCCGGCGACCGGCCAGAGGCGAGCTCGAGCGTTGCCATAGGCCGGCGAGGCCCCAGCTAGCCCGGCCGGTGACCTGGGCGAGGTCGAGTTCGCCCAGGTCGCCGGATCTGGCGAGGCCCCAGCTCGCATGGCCGGCAAGCTCGGGCCTCGCCGGACGTCGGCGAACCTCGCCCGAGGTCATCGGCGAGGCTCTAGCGAGGCCGAGCTCGCCGCTCGCCGGCCGCCGACTGGCTAGAAGAAGTAGAAGCAACAAAAAAAAAAAGAAAATAGGAAGAAGTCTGAAGCAAAGCAGAGCTTCAGACTTCCGGAAAATGACTTCTGCTTCTCAGAAACGGAAGTCATTTTCCTTAAAACAATTAAGGATTTGGGGGTGAGGAAGGAAAACGTTTTCCCATGGAAAACATTTTCCGCCCCCGAACACCAGAAAACGCGAAAAATGTTTTCCGGAAAAATATTTTTCGGAGCACGAACACAGCCTTAATGTCATGGTGACTTACTACTTACATTGCCAATATGTATTAGCGATTTTTTTTACGATACTTTCAAGTCATCATTAGTTATGTTTATCAAACAAACTTAATCTCATTCGGCGTCAAATTTTTTAGTTTTTGTCGCTAAATTGGGTTATAGATTCGAATAGTAAATTTAAAAAATAAAAAAAAAGCCACTAGTACTTTGATTTCGTGGTGATAGCTTATTATTACTAACTTTTTTTTTTGGTCGGTTATTATTACTAACTTGAAAACTGACCTATGTTGGTAAGTCATTAATTCCATTGATAACTTACTATTTACACCGCTAAGATTTAGTTTTGGGTGATAAATTGATATAAAATTATTGAGTTACTATTACATCGAAGTCGGATAGCAAAATACTTAATTACTTTGGCAATATATAACTTACGTTCAAAGCAAACCTATGTTGGTATGCTATGTTAATTTCACTGGTAACTTATTATTTACACCATAAAGATTTAGTTTCGAGAGATAAATTTATAAAAAGAACTTAAAAATTACTATTATATTGATGGTCTTAAGTCCCTAACCTCATGTGTAAATCACAACAAAGTATATGATCAACAAATTACAAGTTGCACGAATTTACAAACTGAATTTAGATTTTTCTAGTTGTGCAACATATTTAGGGAAAATGACACAAATGGTCCATGAACTTTGACCCAATGTGTAATATGGTTTCTAAAATTTTAATTTATATAATGTAGTCCCTGAACTTTACTCCAAAATGTAATGTGGTTCCTAAACTTTCAATTTATTCAATGTGGTTCATGAACTTTTGATACATGTTCAATCTAGTCCCTGGACTATATGAAAATATTCAATATTGTCCCTCAACTTGAATTAATGGAATGATGACATTGAATATTATCATATAGTTTGGAGATTAACTTGAACATGTACCAAAAGTCTGGGGACCACATTAAACAAATTGAAAGTTCAGGAACCGCATTACACATTGGGGCAAAGTTAAGAGATTATTTGCGTTATTATCCCAATGTTCCGTTTTCCCCAAACGGAATTTCTGAAACTCCATCTGTAGGTGATTTTTTCTTCCTTACTTATTGCCAGGTTTTAGCCTAAACAGAAAGGAAGTCGAACTAAAATTCTATCAAGTTGATAATTATATGAGCTTATTCCGCACACTACTAAACTGATAGTTTTTTTAAGGATAGACGTTAATATAAAAGTGATGATATTGCATTTATAAATGCCTTAGCTCTGTTCATTCACAAAAGCCTGACAGTGTTGCACCATCGGGAGCTAACCAGCTGAGGGGATAACAAAAGGATGGTGAGGCAAAAATAACAGAGAATCAATTGGATGACTCTCATTGTTGGTGGAAAATGAGAGAGAACCTACATAACTTCCATGGTTGCAGATATCCCCATCTTCATGAGCTGATGATGTAGCACAGAACACACATCGTCCTTATTTAACCCAGAAAAAGATCAACTTGGAAAAAGTACAGTATGTCTCAAGTACAGAGAATGAAACTATGATCTCATGAAGTGTTGTAAATTTCTACTTGGGTACTCGGTTAAGAGGAAGCAGCAGTTGGACATGGAGGAACAGCTATATCAGTTATCCCTTCCAACATCATCACCACACATTTCATCGAAGGACGAAGTGCCGGCTCGTCCTGAATGCACCACAACCCGACCTTGATCAGTTTCTCCAGGGACGACTTCTCTATTTCTTCGCCCAGAACCAGCTTCTCGAGCTCTCTCGCTCCAAATTGCTGGTAGACCCAAGAAGAAAGAACAATCTCCTCGGGCCTCTGAACGTTGACCTCCATGTTCCGCCGGCAGCACACGATCTCCAGGAGCATGATCCCGTAACTGTAGACATCCGTCTTCAACGAAATCGGAGTGTTCTTTTGCCATTCGGGGGCCATGTATCCTCTCGTCCCTCGGACTCCTGTGAAGGTCCGGGTTTGGTCGGGCATCAGGAGCTTCGCTAGCCCGAAATCGGAGATTTTGGCCGTCCAAAAGTCGTCCATCAGGATGTTTTGGGGCTTAATGTCACAGTGAATGATTGGGGCGTCGCACTCCTCATGTAAGTAAAGAATTCCCTTTGCAATCTCTGAGGCAATTCTCACTCTCTCATTCCAATCCGGACGCCTTTGAGATCGGAACAGAAGGTCTGCGAGGGAGCCATTGCTCATAAACTCGTAGACGAGAAGCCTCTTAGACTTGTCAGCACAGTAACCAAGCAACCGGACTAAATTCTTGTGATGAGTCCTTCCAATCACCCGCATTTCAGCACGGAACTCCCTCTCGCCTTCATTGATCACCTTCTCCAGTCTCTTGACAGCGATGATTCTTCTGCCTCTCGACAAACTTCCCTTGTAGACTGCTCCGAACGATCCCTTTCCCAGCTCTTCCTTAAAACCATTAGTCGCCCTTTTGAGCTCTTTGTAGGAAAATGACCTCAGGGCGAGCTCCTCTGACAAACCAATATCTCCTCTATCTAATAACTTTCTGTACTCAAAAAACCGCAACTTGAACGCAAAAAGACCAGCAATTGCAAGGGCAACGCATGACCACATCACGAGGCCTAGGGTCACTACGAGGAGGAGAACCGTTGCGTCCTTGGTCCTTATTATGACCGTCGGCAGCTCCTCTGAAATGGTCTCATTTGTTTGTTTTTCCTTTACACCCTCAAACCCCACTTTGAAGAATGCTGTTGATGATGCTTGTGGATCTCTCCTAGCATACTTCAGAGGAAGCTTTTGCTTCATACAGTAACTATCTGAGTCGAAGAGTGCTACGTCGCAGTCGCAATCCTCCAAGCAGGACTTGCTGCAATCATCCTTTTGCATTTTTGCCTGGAAATATGGAGGGTCATCCCAAGCCATGTTCTCCATAGACACGATGTTGCGAGAGGAGGCGTTTCCTGCAGAATGTCTACACCACTCTTCAGTGAAATTCCTATCGCACCCGTGAGATTTCTGGTCCATATCAACGAAATCAGTGCCAGGTAGGCAACGACAAACGGGCTGATCATCATCCAAAGTACAATAGCTGTTGAACCCACAAAAGCTCTTCACGCTGCATTTATCATCCGGTGCTGACCACTCGAGGGAGGTTTTATACTCGTAAAAGCGGTTGAAACTATGAGAGTATAGTTGAAGAATTCCATTCGAGTCCAACACTGCACGGTACATAATTGAATTATTGAATGCCAAGGAGCCACCATGCAATATCTTTTGCACCGTCGAATCTGTATTGTTGATGAGAAGCAATGCGCCTGTCGAATTCAGATGCAAATCCAGATTCGGATCACCCCATGTATCCGAAGCCCAGTAAGCATCCAGTGATATGTTTGGAGTGTAAATGGGGTAAAGCACAAGATTACCATCGTGCTGCATCTCGAGGCGAAATCGTCCTGTCGAGCGATTACTCTTCGACACACTCGAAAGCAATGCATCCCCGCGAGACAGAGATTGGCCTCCCATTATTGTATCGGTAGGGAAACTAAAACTATCCCAAATGACATGATCATCTTTATTGTAGAGTATAAAGTTCCCGGAATCATTCATGGCAGCGTAGGAAGCTAATTCAGGTACAGAAGCAATCAACTTACTGTTCCCGGAATCAGTGAGGAGGAGCTTACCATCAAGTGTTAATTCGAGTATGGCTGTGGACGGCACTGGTCGATCATCTCGGTTTGCGGTCCATGTGGTTGTGTTTTCTGCCTCACCCATCATCCAAATTCCTACCGAGAATCCATTCCCGTTCTGGTAGAAACCGAAAGCGAAGCGACCGGAAGGCGAAAGCCATGGGGTGGAATGATCTGTGGGGGAGAGTGAAGAACCTAATCTGATCAAGTTGGGGTGTGCTTGCTCGCATGTTGCAGATAGATAGTGCACCGACAGTAGGAAAAATGAGGCATATTTGGAAGCCATGAGAGGAGTCTGTGAGAGGTGGAGTTCAGTTTCTTTGGCTATTTAGGAGTTGCTTTTGAATGTTAAATGCTCACCAAGACTTGAGGGGTTCAGAGAAGTTGCTCACAACTTGCGTGGATGACTTTGTGAGGTCATCTTGACTGGCCAAGTCTTTGCCTTGTTGACTGGAGATGTTGGAGTTGCTTGGAGTGAAAGATGGGGTGAGTTTCGAGGACCATTTACCACTAGACATAATGCATATGTTTGAAGTCAAAATGGCAAATTAGGGGCAATCTTTTACTGTATCTTACTCTGAACACTTTCGACCGACGTGGTCGCAGAACATTAATCATTTTCAAGAGCAAGAACAGCCTCATTAGGCATTGGCGACTCACAGAGAAACATGTTCGTTTTTTCCATGTAAACACGCGAATCTCACGTACTTCTTGGATGTAATACTTCACAATGGAAAATCTCCCATCGTAAAGCTTCATTTAAACATCTAGTAGGGCTGGTAATTTTGGTTTTGATTCACAATCGTGTTTGTGCCAACTTGGAAGTATTGTCTTCAATGTATCAAGGCGACCGTTCTTTTGAGCCCTCAATATTAATGCTTTTTAGATTTCTTTAAGACCCCAATATAATTCAAGTTTCTATCTGTTGTGAACCTCAATAATTATCACCAACTTAGATTGAATTCGAGTCCTGAAGGTTCACTAAGCTTCACATCTCTTCACAAAATTATCAGATTACAACTGATGACTTCTGTCCTCTAACGATCGAGTTTGGCAGAAGGAATTCTGGTATTACATGCGAAGGGGGCATTGCTCTGTTGTTTTACTGGCATTTTTCTCAATGCTGAAGTTTCTTCATAGCATGCTAAGGACTCAAAACCGTATGGAGATAGTTTATTCGACCTTGAGTCAGAAAACAACATTATTCTCATGAAAAAAGGGAAACGAAACTCTCATACCTAACGAGAGGTATGGAGGCTTCGGCTACAAAAATGTCTACTAAGTCACACTTACGAGATGTAGTAGCGGACATATGACCTTTTATTCTTGAATGACACAACAAATGCAAACAGTTCATGGCTGAAAATGGTTTGCTAAGTTTCATGAACTTGACCTGTCACAGTGTATTTGTGCTCTACAAGTTACCGAGAAGCACCAAACAAAGTCGAAAATCGTCCTTTGAGTCAGGTGCAATGACCTATCATATGATGAGTCACGCGAATTAAGATGTATAGGACAATGGGGTTGGGCATGGCGGGCGTGGCACATCCATAATACCTTCCAGCATCAATATCACATCCTTGATCGAAGGGCGAATCTCCGAATCATCATGCACACAGAGGAGCCCAATTTGCACCATTCTTTCGACACTTTTCATGTCTACTCGTTCGTCTTTTACGAGCTTGGGAAGCTCTCCGGTGATGTAGCAGTTGTAGACCCATGAGCAAAGCAGCACCTCATCTGCTGACGAAACGTCGACCACCATGTTGCTCCTGCAGCACACTATTTCTAGCAACACGACTCCGTAGCTGTAAATATCGGCCTTTGTGGATACCATGGCATTCCTCTGCAGTTCTGGTGCCACATAGCCTCTTGTACCTCTGACTTCAGTTTTCGTACCGGTTTGATTTGGCATTAAGAGCTTCGCTAGGCCAAAATCCGAGATTTTTGCGGTCCGAGATTCATCCATGAGAATGTTTTGTGTCGTGATGTTGCAGTGAATTATTTGGAGGTCACACTCTTCGTGCAAATATAGGATTCCTCTCGCTACTTCCAACGCAATTCTGACTCTTTCACTCCAAGGAGGACGCCTTTCAACATCAAACAGGAGATCTGCCAGTGATCCGTTCTCCATATATTCGAATACAAGAAGCTTCCTCGAGCTCTCCATGCAGAAGCCGAGCAATTGGACTATATTTTTGTGGTGAGTATGACCGATTGCAGCCATTTCAGCCTGGAACTCTTTCTCTCCTTGTTCGATGGCTCTCTCTAATCTCTTTACTGCTACACGCTTGCTTCCATCGGAGATTATCCCTTTGTACACCGCCCCAAAAGAGCCCTTACGGATCTCTTCCGTGAACCCACCGGTAGCTTCTTCAAGCTCCTTAAATGAGAAGGATTGCAAAGTGAACTCTCGTGCTGGACCCAAAGTAGAATCTGTTGAAAGCCTCGCGTACTTATGAACTCGGTATCGATACAACAAGAAACTAAACGCAGCTATCATGGAGCAGAAAATTGCAATAGAACCCAAGCTGACCCCGACAATCAAAACAAGTGTATTCTTTTTCTCCGTCACAGATATTGGCTTTGTTGGGACTGGTGGCTTTTGAGAAGCAAGGGGGACAGGGATGAGTTTTTTTACTAACACCGTGGAGGAATCATCCCCATTTGCTTTCCCGTAGATGATGGGCAGCTTCATCTTGCTGCACGATCCATCTTGATGCAAAGCGACTTCACAATTGCAGTCTTCCAGGCACGACCTCTTGCACTCGCCGATGGGAAGTGGTAGTACCAGATAAGGATGACCCCCGAATTCTACACGCGCCAATGGGGTGATACTCGAAGTAATATTAGCATCTTCCACACCACAGTGCTGTTCGTAGTTGGAGCTCCTCCGGCAACCCAAAAATCTCTTGCTTGCATCGATGAAAGCGAAACCAGGAAAGCAATCACATCGTGCCCCGTCGCTGCTGCCTCTGCAGTAACTGTTATATCCACAGAAACCTTTGACATCACATTGGTGCTCTAGTGCAGACCACCGAATGGACCCTCCTGTGCTCGAGAAGTCACCTTTCGAGAACCGGTGTAAATAGAGCCTGAATATCCCATCGTCATCAAGTGTCGCGCGATAAATGGTACTGCCTTCTTTGCTAGAAAACGAGCTATGATTGGCGAGAATTTTCTCGCAAGCGCCACTATCGTCCCACAAAGCAAGAGTTCCTTGAGAATCAAGATTTAGCTGCAATGAGGATGGCCCGGAAGTATCACTCGACCAGTATGCGTCCTGGGGAGAATTGGTGGAGTTAACAGAGTACGCGACAAGGTTCCCATCAGTCTGCATGGAGATTCTAAACCGACCGCTTGAGTGGTCAAGTGATGATTTGCTCGAAATCAATTCCTTTTGCTCGGAGAGGTTCTGACCGCCCAGTATGGTGTCGGTCGGGAAATCGAAGCTCTCCCAGATCACATGAGAATTGTTGCCGTAGAGCACAAGATTACCGGAATCAAGCATGGACGCAGAGGTAGCAGGCTCCAACAATTCAGAGCCGACAAGGGATGCCTCCTGACCTCCCTGACCGGTTCGGACGACAAGTTTGCCGTCCATAGTGAACTCAATTGTCGCATTTGAGGAGACCAATGGATCATCCCGGTTTGCAGTCCACACGACAGTGTTGTTAGGCTTACCAACAAGCCATATTCCAACGCCGTACTTATCCCCTTGAGGATAGAACCCAAAGGTGAAAAGACCCGACGGCGAACGCCACGAAGTGCGGTTGGTTCTCGGAGAAAGCGATGAACCGACGGTTACCGTGCCGGTGGTTGTGTGTTGAGTGTACAAGAACAAGGAAAGCAGGAAGAGAAGCGAGCGAGCGACTTGCACAATCGCCATCGGAGAAAGCCGTGAAGAGAGGGAGAGATAGATAGACTATGACACGACTGTATGTATCTTAGTTGGAATCTCACTAACCTTAGACAAGTTGCTTTGAGACAATTTCCAAGGACATCCAGTTGTCCAATGAACGAGCAAGAAGAGAAGAACAAAACCTGAAAATCTAAGGACTTGGCGGGAGAGGACTGGACAAAGAAGCAAAACCCACATGAGGAGAAAAGCTGTTCCTAGCTATGCTTCTGCGACGACTTACCAGAGTCAAGTACGCAAGAAGATCTCACTTTAGACCGACATGAGAAGAAAAGTTGTTCTTAGCTATGTTGCTGCGACGACTTACCAGAGTCAAGCGCACAAGAAGATCTCACTTTAGCTTCTGTCCACTTCAATAAAAGATGTGGCCAAAATGAATGCTTGCCAAACTCTTAAACGTTAGACACACGCATAGACGAGAGACTTTGCTAGTCACCCTTAGGCCTTTTGCCTCCCATTTCCATTTTACGAATTTTCCAAGCAATTCGGACAAGAGGTGGTGTAGCATCCAGATTCATTGTAAGGACTTTGGCACAAAACGTGGCTAACATGTCGGCCCAAGCAGACCTCCATTGACTTGGCAATCTCTCTCCCTCTGTCTCTCGGACCAACTAGATGTTTTCAAGTCTGGCCCCGTGTGCGCGGGGGAAGAAAATGCTTGCAAGGAAAACTGGTCAGTGATAAATGTATGTCAACTGATCACTTATTTTGTTCCTCGGAACGGAAAAAGAACAGTCGGATTGGTAACGCTAGTTAATTTTTCTGTTTCCCGAAATAAAAAAGTGGTCAATGAATAGATTTAAAACAAAAACAAGGAGTAAAGAAAATCTACTTCATTGTTCCCGGAAACAATTTTTGAAGCAATGTCATTTTCTTTTCTTTTTTTCCTTCCTTCTTCCTCCTCTAGCTGGTCACCAAGCCTTGCGATGGCCGACAAGGCAAGGTTCGACCTCGCCCAGACATCGTGAGGTCAACTTCGCCCAACCATGGTGAGGCCGACCTCGCGGTGGCTAGGCGAGGTCAAGCCTCCCCAGGGGCCAGCGAGGCTTGCTTCAGACAACCGGCTAGAGGAGGAAAAAGAAGGGACAAAAAAAAAGAAAGAAAAAAAATTAGAAAAGTGTCAAAAATGTCAAAATTTTATTTTAAAAAATTTTAAAAAAATTCCATATAACAGAAAAGTTTTAGAGTCATACCAAACATATTTTTGTTCTTATTTTATTCCGAGAATAGATATTTTTTGCAATTACCAAATGAGTTTTTCTACTCAGAAACTAGTCCAGGAAATAAAAATAGAAATAGAAAAAACTATTTCAAAAATGAAATTATTCCCGATAATAGAAATGTTACCAAACGCATCCTTATTTTCTCGTCTTTCACTCAACCAAGAAAGAATCAATCAGACAAGTCATTATGCTATTTTTCCCGATGCCCAAAAGAAAATTTTAAGCTATTTCCGCAACCTGACAATCGATATAATTTGGTTCCAGTCGATCATGTATCGTGCACAAAGTAGGCATCCTTTTGAAGTTTTATGCCAGAAAACAGGGCAGGTCGGTTCTTTCGCGGCCCCAATTGACAGGCAAAGAATTCCAATGTCGGGCACTGCCGGCACCAAACACGCCCACACATTCTAAATTGGGACCATCAGGTGTCCTGCCCCGTAAATTTACCTGCATCACCCTCATCACTACATGAATCTCCGTTCCTGCAAAGATAGCTCTCCATAGTCCACTCTATAATACAAGCCGATGCACTGAAAAAAGAATTCAGCAAGGGAGCCCGTACAGACCCGGCACGAGCGATTTAGCTTTAAGAGAAGCGGCACAGGCTGAAGGCAAAATTTCGTATATATTGGGCACTATAGTTGCGCACGATTAGTTTCTGTTTACATTTCAGAATATACACCAGCATGCACTCTAAATACACTATCGACAGATGTAACAATCAACATAACAATCTGCTTATAATCACACCAGCAGCAGATTGAAACCATAATTCAGAAAAACATAGCAATAAGGTAAGTTCTCTGTACAAAGTAGGGTATACTCCTCCATGCCGATTCATCATGTGGCAAAACGGAAGCACCGGTCAGTATCTCCAATTGCAGGTAATAAGTATGTACCGATTAAATATAAACAGTAGAACTCAGCTGCCCACTCAAACTCATAATGCTTGTCTGTACGTGTAAAAAGATTTGAGATCGGTCAGCAGTGTATTCCACAGGTACCTCTGCTAAAATTTCACAGTACCTCTACCGGCAGATTCTACAGCAGCAGCAGCAGCATTGTTGGGCAGGCTCTGTGACCTACCAGTACCCCCTTGAGAAAGCAATAAATTCCTCATCTCCCTATAAACCTTGAGTTCTTCTAAAGCATCAGTTGTTGTCTTAGATGCGAGAAGAGCAGAGGATGCAACGCTTGAAGTGCCATCCTGAGCTGAAATGGCTTTAGGTGTCTGACAATGCTCATGAAAGCTGTTGCTCCAGGTCTCAGATCTGGAGGCTTGTGAAGCTGTTGCCAAATTTGAGAAGTCTTGGTGAAGAGGAGGAGCTTTTTTCAACATATCCACAAGAGCTCCAACAGCAGCACCCGGAGACTTTCTGATTGGCAAAAATGAACCAGACTGCAGTGGATCATGCGCATGTCTTCTTTTATCAAATAAATCCGCTCTGCAAACAATGCACTAATCAGATCACTCTAACCCAAGAAGTATGAATTTACTAGATTCATTCGGTGGAGAAAGGATGTTTATAACAATGCGTTAGAACAACAGAACTGCAAGCAAAAGCGATGCGAGTGAACTTGGATATTCTCTTGCACTTCATCAACAAAGTTTCTGGCAGAAACAGATGCAGATATGAGTAACCTGACAATCTTGGTATATCGGTCAAGCTTAGAAGCAGTTTGCAGAAAGCTACTTCAGCAGAATATTCATCCAACCTAACAACAGTTTATCAATCTACAGAAGTAAATCATAACAAAGAGAGAAAGTTTGCCAACCTAAGAGAAAATCGATATCGATATCGAAGCTTGGTGCATGGACATCACCATATTCATACTAATTTACATTTCTATATGGGTGATATCCATAACTTGTAATCACCAATTTCAGAAAGGGGAATTTCCTCGAATCAGGGATGGAAGAAATAATAGCCCTTAAAGAAAGAAAATTAGTCTGGAAGTTACCGATCAAATAATGTGTTCATTGAATAGTCAAGATGAAGAGACAATTAGACGTTAATAAATGCATAGCCTATTCATCACATTGCAGGAAAAGTAATATATTGATCAACAAAAAATCAAAACTAAAGAGGGCATCCCATCGCACAAGGCTCCCTGCACAGTGGGTTCTAGGGAGGAGGGGTTGATGTACACAGCCTTACCCTTGATTTTCCAGAAAGATTGTTCGGCAACTCAAACCTGTGACCTTAGGCCACAATGGAGTATAAGAAGAATCAACACAATCGTTCATGAGCTATGAATGGATTGTGATGGCATCTACGACAATGCTCACAATCTTTTGGTATTTTCCAATCATACCTTTAAATTCCAAAAATGTATGCATTATGAGAATTAAAGAGAAATACAGATGCAGCAAACAGTATTTCGCTGTAGGCATTTAAAAGCAGATCACCTATAGAGGCATATGCTGAAATAATGCAAGCAACTCGTTTGAAAACTTGAGCGGGCAGAGAACACATTTACCTGCTACCTGGATCAGTCACATCATCATCCTCCACATCGAATGGGCAAGTGTACTCATACTCATCAGAATCATCATGGAAAGACCTGCAGGAGCTTCTGGAATAGGAGATATGTGCTGAATTTCCTGATGATATTTTTGACCCAGAATATCTTCCCATGTCATCCCTTCCAACTGAGGACATCTATAAAGAAAGGAGAGAATTTCAATAGAACTGCTGGAAAAGAAAAGTTCACCAGATAACTCTGCAGGGTATTTAATAATACCTTGTCAACCGTTGCGCCATCACGGCTAGGACACGTACTTTTATTCGCCATTGAAGGGCCATATCTTGTACCTCTGAGAGGAGGTGATGGAGGGAGATTTTGGTTCTTGAATAACGTAGGGGAATTAAGAAACTTTGTTGCAAGTATATTAACTGGAGCACTCTCAGATCGTAAAAGATCCCTTGAAAGATGACTCCCAGGTACAAAAATGGGCGGGGAGGGTGAGGGAGAAGGAGAAAAGGTCGGTGAAGGATAGTATTCATCAAAGCTAGCATTATCCTTATGAGCATGAGATACTTCGGGTGGGTGAGGTGGCAAACCTGGAGGGAGGAACCGACGAGAACTGGGGTTAGAAGCTGAAGCATAAGGTTCGGAATGGGTTGGTGAAGGCAAGAAAGTGACGGAAGGCGGAGAGGCACGGTATTGATCAAAACTCCAACTGTGTCTCCTTGAGAATGGCAATGACGAGGGGGAGCCACAAGATACAGGGAGTGACGGGAATCTCTTAAGCGGGTCAGCTAATGGGCTGCCCACATAATCTGGTATAACTTGGGGGGACATTGGGGTAGATGCCCCGGAACTCACATCAGATAATGATGATCGATACAACACTGAAAGGCAAAGCCTACCGGATGAAGTATCCACAGGGGCGAACACAAATCGCTGCATTTCAGCCTCTTCTCTGCGGGTGAAGGGCTCAACAAAAGAAGAAACCCGATGAGCCAGGGAGAAAGAGCGAATTTGACCAGTCAAATTCAGGTCCCGAAATATTTTATATGCTGGCAAGAGCCGGACAGTTAGGTATACGGATCTTAAGAGCAACATCAACTTATTATAAAATGACAAGATATTACTGCTTGATCTTTTGCTCCCCTTGCCAGCACCCTTGGCCTTCCTCACCTCATACTGCACTGTCCATCTTTCTATTATCTTTTCACTCCTTCCATTTCCTAGCTCCTCCTGGTCAGAGTTCCAGCAATTCGAATGCGGTTCTTTCGACGACAAATTCTTGAACAGTTCCGTCTTGGGATAAAAATTGGCTGGGTCCCAGTTAATCGCTCTCTTCACCAAAACAACATCAACAACCATAGGTTCAAGATTGCTTTGGCGCCAAAGATCAAGATTCTCCAACGCTTCAGGGCATTCTCTAAGAGCTAAATTGAACCATTTATCTCTCGACCTCACACTTGACGAGGAAGAAGAGGAGGAAGATGGGGAAGACATGGTCTGTTCACCGCTCAAATTCCGGGAAGAAATGTAAGGGGTCCTTGATTCGAGTATTATGTGTAGACTCTTTGCATAGAATTCGGTAATTATCTGCTCCATCTTCGCGGAATCAGAGTGGGACGATGCCATATTCGAAGACACGCCTTTAAGATTGCCGGAAACCCCCCTGAAGAGAACAGAGCATCCTAAACTCCAGCTACAAGCACTTCACCTGCCCCAAATTCACAAAAAAAAAGGACATCGTGAACATCCCAACAAGAGAACCCGCGATCGAACGAGACCAAACTCGCCGCAAGCACGCAATTCACCGAGACACCCACAGCAACTCACGCCGAATTCCTTTCGCAGCGACACTAAAGCTTAAAGGCTCGCCAGTTCAGTGAACAGATAAACGCTCCAAACATAGAAGTCGCACTGCCCAGTGACGACTGATCAAGTAGGCAGAGAGAGAAAGAAAAAAAACACGAACCAAACGCAAACAAGTCCCAGGCAAAAACATCAAGGGCGGCACACAGACGATGAGATAGGGTTTATACGATTCGCTCGGCAGAACTTCTTCTCCATACGTCCCCTACCCAAAACCCTAAACACGCAGACGCACCATGTAAAACCCTCCAACATGAAACCCAACACCAGAGAGAGAGAGAGAGAGTTTACAGGGTTGAGAGAGCGTTCGCGGAAGGGCGATTCGGAGAAGACGACGAGCAGCGAGCGACCGCCAAGAGCACTCGAGATTGAATCGCGAGCATCTCTCTCTCTCTCTTCGTCTTCGATGACCCGACGACCAACTTCTTCTTCTTATCCGCGGAGCAGCCCGCGACGAAGACGAGGTCGAGGACGACACGATGATGATTGATGAAGAAAGGAGTAGAAGAAGAAGCAGAAGAAGTAGAACAAGAAGAAGAAGAAAGAGGGGTACTGTGTTGGCGCGTCCACGTGAGCCCGCGGGGGACATCGCCCGCCCGGATCTCGCCACGTCAGCGGTGCCCTTTGACGGGCTAGGGAGAGGGTCAATCCGAGGGATTGCCTCCGCATGGATCCGCGGATACGCTAGCACTTCCTCGGGCGGCAGCAGCGCCCCCTCTCTCTTATCGCCGTGTCCAAACACGCCGCGTGTTAATTTCGACTCCCCCGGTCGTATCAAATTTTCTTGGTCCCCCTCCTGGGAGGATGGACCGACGTTACCATAAGAGTCTCGTGCCCATTTTGAAATACTTGATCGTGATTGCCCCGGCACTGCCAATAATTAGAAAGTACAAGAGGTATGTCGAATCCGTCGTCAGAGCTCCGTTGTGGAAGTACACACGCAGAGGTCGAATGCATTTATTAGTATCGCAACAGAGGGTTTCGACCCCTTTGCCTTGCGTTTTGAAATGCTAGCTCTCGTACCGCCACTGTGTCATTGCCGGCGGTGCATGAGCAGCAATCGACCCATGGGGAGGTTGGCCGGATAGTTACGGCTCATGTCTTTTCATTTTATTTGAATTATATGGTGTATGAAATGCTTAAAATTAGATTATTTTGAAAAGTCCGGAATATATTTTTATTGAGAGGGTGATACCCTGAGATGCCAGATGGCGAAACATGCTAAAGTCACACATACTTCTCTATATGGGATAGAGATGGTTTGGCAAGCACAGCTCAGCTTGAAGTACCAATGGCTCAGCCAGGGACAAGTCATCCCTTGACTCCTTAAGATCGATGCTCGAAACATTAGGAGGCATGCTCCAGTTAAACCCCTGGATTAGCCTGGCAAGGAGCATCACGATCACCGTCGTCCCGAGCTGCATGGCAACGCACCCACGGCGGCCCGTGCTGAACGTAATGAATCGTAGGTCAGGCTCCGCGAGCACGACTTCCACATCATCGCTCGTGATGTGCCGCTCGGGCTTGAACTCGAGGGGTTCGTCCCACACTCTAGGGTTTCTACCAAGGCCTAACCGGCTCAAGAGGATGTGGCTGCCCTTGGGGATGTGGTAGCCGGCCACAACAGCGTCCGACAGGGCAACGTGCGGGACATTGAAGGGCACGATCGGGTGGAGCCTGAAGGCCTCCCGAGCGCATGCCTTGATGTAGTTGAGCTGGGGGATATCGGACTCTTGGACTAACCTCTCCTTTCCCACGACTCTATCTATTTCTTCTCTAGCTTTCTTCAGGAGTTCGGGCTGATTTATCATCTCCGCCATTGCCCATTCCACTGCACTCGATGGATTGTCCACCGCGGCCATCATAATTTCCTACACATATCAAGACGTACCAAAAAAGGTATGCATCTTAAGTTAACTTCGAAATCTAATTTATAACCACAAATATGGAAATAAGAGTATGTGTAAGTATGTATTTATTATAGGAAAATCTTTCTTAAGGAGCTTTTAAATTAGCTTTTGGATAAGTTTAATGACATTGACATTAGGGCGCATAGATATCGACTTTTTCGACCAAGTATATAACCTTCTATGGTTTGCTTTCTAACCTTTGATGATGATAATAATAGATACATACAACAAGAACGAACAAATTTCTCACCGTAACCTGCGCTTTGACTTCATGTGGCGTGAGCAATGGCTTCCCTTGCGAGTCTTTCAGCATAATAAGAACATCCAACAGGTCTTGAGGCTCTTTTTCATTACTCTGCGAGCTCGAATGGTCCCTCCATTGTTTGATTCTCTCGTTCACGATGGGCTCATGCAACCTCCGAAACGTCCTCGTGCAATCTTTCACTACCTTCTCATGCCCATCGAGGTCGAGCCCCACCAAGAACGGGAAGTAATCGGAGACGCAGAATGCGTAGAGATAGTTCACCGCTTTGAACAGTGCGTCCACATGCTGTTCTTCATCCATGGTTGGTCCTCCATCTTCCCTTCCTTTGCCAAAGTATCTCTTGCTGAACATCAGCCTCCTTATCACATTCCCACAGTAGTGCCTCGCTGTCTGCCTCAGGTTCACCTGCCCTAGGCTTTGGCACTGGTTGAAGACGTACTTCATTAGGTTAGCAGCTTCCTCGGCCCTCTTGTCGTGGAGCCACTTGTATCGCACCGGGCATATGATCTCCAACTTCACGACCCGCCTCATCTTCTGCCACTGCTCCCTGTGGGGCGAGAAGATGGCGGTCAAATAGCCCCCGCTCAACGCCCGGGACGACATCGAGACGGGCCTCGACGCAAACGTAGCATCTTGCTTTATGAGGAACTCCCGGGCGATCTTCGGGTCGGTTACGGAGATGACGTGCGTGTTCCCTATGCGGAAGCACGCGATGTTGGTGTCCATCTCCTCCATCCAACGAAGGATCCACTGGCCCGAGGGCTTGTTCCGGAGCACGCTGAGGGCGCAGCCGACCACTGGCCACGGGGCGGGCCCCGGGGGGAGTTGGAGCGGCTTGGATATTCCTTTGACGCTTTTGCACCAAAAAGATTTGATGATGTTGTGAAAGACTAGTGCCATGAGAAGTAGGCCATAGGCCAAGGTGGCGAAACTCATCATCGTGGCGGCAATCAGAGAACCGTCGACGCGCTAGCTATTCTTAGCCTCTCCGGAGGTACATAGGACTAGGATTTTGGGAAAATGCAGAAGACCACGAGAGTTGTGCATGTACATACACTGATATAGATGTGGCTATATAGGGAAACTGAAATCGACCAATCAAGTACTTACTAAATAAAATGCAAGAGGATCCGATTCTATATAAATGTGATTAATTGGAGTAGATTCCCAAGCAATTAATAACTTCAGTCAAGGAATTAAACATGCCTATGTGTTTTTAGGGATTTTCTTGTTTCAAATCTAGCGTAAGTAGGGATAATGGTAAAAAAGTCGTAAATCTTGTGTACGGTTGTCAATCCAGTCATAAATCTTTCAATTATGCTAATTTAGTGTTAACCCGTTTGCAACTTGCCAATTTAGTTCGAAACATTTTAATAATTTCCCAATTTAGTCATAAATCTTTTGACGATTTGTCAATTCAACCGTTCTGACTAATTTTGGTAAGAAATTGCTGACGTTAATGTCACCTGACCATCTCATGCGGTGTGACCGACACCAACATCGACAAAGTTTCCATTTTTATTTTTTTTTTCATTTTATTTCCATTTGGCTTGTGGCTAAAACTCGGTCATGGCTGGTGATCGACCACAAGCGAAGGCGTCATGGCCCTCGCCGACCACATATAAGAGTCGCCCTCATTGGATCTGGCGAGGGCTCAACCCTCATGGCTTGGGCGAGGGTCACCCTCGCCGAATCTGACGAGGGCTCAACCCTCGCCTGCAATGCCCTTGCTAGCCCTCACCTATGGCCGGTCACCAGTCATGGCTGAGTACCGGCTACAGTCTCAAGAGAAAGAAAACGGAAAAAAAAACATAAAAAACGAATATCTTTCTTTTTAAAAAAATGCAAAATTTATCCCCATCAGCGATGGCCGTATCACGTAGGATGGCCGGTTGAAGTTCATGTCAGCGATTTCTAGCCAAATTGAACGGAAAGACTAAATTGGTAAATCGTCAAAAGGTTTTAAGACTAAATTGACAAATTATCAAAAACTTTATAAACAAATTAACACAATTGGAAGGTTTGGGACTAAATTGAAAAGCTGTTTAAAGGTTTGGATGAAATTGGCACAGTTTAAAGGTTTGAACTAAATTAGCACAATTTAAAGATTTACAATTGCATTGACCGTCGTACAATGGGTTTAGAGCTTTTCAGACAATTTTTCCGGTCTAAATACAAGTCTTATGGTAGTTTTGATAGTCCAAAGCTGGCAAGTACTTGAAGAAATGCTACTCTGTAATTGTGCTTATCTCATACCTTTCTCGGCCTTTGGGCTTAAGATCACGCGCTCATCTCATGCAGCTTCTTTCTGTTTGATGAGTTAAATTTGTATTCTGGTAGTTGACTGATTCCTCAGTGTATACTAATGCTCTACGTAAAGACAAATGGAAAGAAAAACATTTTTTGAGCAGAAAAATATGTTGAATAGAACGAGTTACCATTAAGGTTGCTTGTCGTTAGTGCTAAAAATAAGAAGAAAGGTTTGATGAGGTTTAACGTGGTACCTCCACAAATTGAGTTGTTGTGAATTTGCAAGTTCTAAAGGCGTCCCCTTTAAGTAGGCTGCAGTGACCACATAGTCTCCCCAGAACGTTTCAGAAATGAAACCTTGGTATTTGATGACACGAGCAACCTCTAAAAGATGACAATATTTTCTCTCGACAACCTCGTTTTGTGGGAGTGTGTAGACACAGGAACTCACATGAAGAATGCCATTCAAGGTAGGGATGAGCATGGTCCAGGTGGGTGATTCCCACCATGGAACCGAGAACTGCCCACTAAGGACCGGTTCCGAAAAATTGGAACTGGAAACCGGACCGCCAGTCCAGTTTCTGAATAGATCTATGGAACTGGTTCCACCAAGTTTCATGTAAATGAAGGTGATCGAGAGCAAGAGAGGAAGGCGATCAATGGCCAAAGGCACGGCCATGAGAAGGTGGGAGTTGAGCGTCGAGGTTCAAATTAGAGATTTTAGGGTTTTCATTTTTCTTAAATGTTTTCTTTTTTTTTTGGTTGAAGTTGTTCTTAAAAATTATATATATTATCAGTCCCGTCCTGGTGGGTGGTTCTATGCCTAGAATCGGGAATCAAATCGGTACTCACCTGTTTTAGTAAATTGGAACCGGGAATCGCTGGTTCCGAGATGGTCCGATCCAGTTATGGGCGATTCCCGATTCCTTTGTACACCCCTAATTCAAGGTAAAAAATGAAGAACATTCATTATTAAAAACTCACGGGCATTGTCAGCACGAACCCGTTGACGGATTTATGAAACTGATTATTTTATCAAGGTAGGAAAACTCTTAATATGGGAAAAGACTTGGGCTTTGGATTGCATGAGGAGAACCTAAGTTGCACATGTATAATTATCCACGATTATGAAAAAAAAAAAGGGACCCATCACGATGTGGAGTGTGATATGGTCTCCGAATGTCCATATAGCATGAGGGAAAGGTTGTCACATTGTTTAGCCAATGGACAAATAGAGCACTTGGGATGAGAAAAGCAGGCACTGTGACCCAAACGTTGATGAGATTAGGAAATATTATTATTAATGTTGGCATAACAGAGCGTACCCTTATTTTGGGGGATACATGAAAAATCAAGACTTTTGGGTAGTGTAGCCCAAAAATAAAGTCCATCATGATTTTTACCCAAGCCCATCAGTTTTCTAATCGAAAGGGACCGAAAGAAACGGACATTAGAATCAAAAAGAATTTTGATAGGAATTATCCTCACAAAGTTTGGAGACAGAAATGTAATTGAATTGAAATTCGGGAATGAGGACATTTTTCAATGTGATGGATGGACTGAGACGAATGTTTCCAATTTTAGTGATAAAGGTGTCACTTCCATTTGGAAGGCAGACTAAATTGTGATGAAAGGATTTATGAATATGGTAAAAGAAATGTTTATTGCAAACTATTTGGTCACTAAAATCTGAATCAATAATACATGCATCAATTGAAATAGAGCTGATTAAGCAATAGGATATACCTACATAGCTAGTCGTTTTGTCTTGGGGACTGATGTAGAACAGTTAGCCTGTAATTATCTTGAACAATGTGATCGCCGTAATCATCGGAAATCTCGACAGTTTTTTTGATTTTGGGGAAAACAACCATTCAAGCAGTTTCCTATATTATCATTTAGGCAGTTTCCTATATTATCAGTTAGGCAGTTTCCTATATTACCAGTAAGGCAGTTTCCTATATTATCATTTAGGCAGTTTCCTATATTACCATTCAGGCAGTTTCTTTAATTATTCGGTTTCCATTAGTATTAGGAGTCCTATCTCTATATATAAGATGTCCGTCTTGTAATCAAGAGCACAGTATTATTGAATAAAAATTTCGAGTTCTTTGGAGTTGTTCCAAATTTACGCTTTCTCTCTGCGTCAGGGACCCAGCTGGCTTTAGAGCTCTCATGATTTGCCGGAATTGATCGTGATTGATGGGCTAGTTAACCTTGGCATGCGTTGCGACTGAAATATCTTGTCCTTTCCTTTCTTTGTTTACTGGCTTCTCATGCAATTTCTAACAATTTTTCTTAGTATGATAATGACATTTGCAATGTTTGCAAAATTTACATTTTCCTTTGTTGGAATATGGGCCATTGGATTTGGATGACGTGGCCGAATTTTGGCCGTAAGATGCCTTCCACCTGATGCTGATGTGGCGTGATTTGCGTTGTCTAATTTGGGTGCGGCAAGGATGAAAGATGCGCTGTCGGATTGCGCCACGTGCATTGAGCCGTCCAATTTCGTTATCAAATCTTGGCCATTCATTTGCATTGAGCCTCGGGTGCGCCCTAGACCGTCCGATCGGGGATGACACGATTAAATCGTGATCGTCGGTTGTGAAGGAAGAAGGGAAGTCGTCTTCCTCACTTGGGAACCCTAGTGCTATGCCTGAGTGAGCGAGACCTCCATGATCGGAACTTGCCACGGCACGTCGCTGTTCCTACATTGCCTTTGCCACAAGAGCAACGTGGTCGCCGACCTTTAGATACTCTGAAGAAACAAGGCATTGGGATTCTTCTTGCATAGCGAGTTGGTAGATCCGTTTGAGCGAGGGAACAGGATCCGTAGCGAGAATCTGACTTCGAAAAGGTAAATAGCTTTCGTTTAGTATGAGTAGGAACCTAGTGACCTTCTCCTGTTCCTTGATTGCTCGGTATTGCGCTAGGGTAGCTTCGAGTCTTTCAAGGTTTTCTTCGGCCATTCCAAAGGGCCAACAATCGGTTTAAGATAGCAGTGACCAAGAGGTTGCCCTGTTTTAGCTCCAATAGGGCCTGAGCTATCCCAAAAAGTTTGGCCTTGTCGAACTTACCGTACATTTCTCGAATATTTTCCCAAATTTTATTTGCGTCTTTAGTCGGAGGAAGTCCGGCAGCGACCTTTAGGGTGAGGCAGTTGCCGATTCACATTCGAACGATTTGGTTGCACTTCCTCCAATGTCGTGCAAGCCGCTCGTAAGATAATATGAGCATGGTGCCATCAATAAATCCATAGTTATCCTTCGTGATTAGGGCACTTCGGAGCTCTTGGGACCAAATGGAGTAGTTCTCCGGTCCTGCGAGTTTTTGTTCAATAAGGGCGCAGTTCTGGTTTGTCTGGCTGTCTATGTTACCCTTCCTTCATCTAGAGGGATTTCCGCGGTTGTTTGATGTGCCAGATTTTGAATTCTGATTTCTAGGCATCTCTTCCTTGCAGGCTGAAGAACGGTGTACGGAAGCTAGTATACTCTGCACAATATGGGTGATGGAAAGCTAAATGGAGGAAGATGTGCATTGCTTTCTCATATTGAAACTATACGAGTACAATCCTATTTGTAGTACATCATCAAGTAAATCATCCATGATAGAAGACTACCGAAAGAGAGAGAGGGACAGTACTGCGACCACTGAGCAGCGAGTGACTGCAAAGAGGACTTGAG